GCGCGGGCGCGTGCATGCAGCCACCATCCATCCTCTCTTCCTCTCTTCGTCTCCTTCGACCTCCGCGCTGCCTTTCCCTCGCTCTCCCAGCTCTTTCTTCATCGCGTGCTTGCTCGCCATCGCCTCCCGCAGGGGTACCTGAATGTTGTTCGATCGTTGTATTCTGGGGCTCTCGCCCACTCCCGCTGTGGAGCGGCCAGGGTCCCCCTCTTCCTGGTGACCTCAGGTGTTGCCCAGGGCTGCCCGCTCTCCGGGACCATCTGGGCCCTCTGCATGGACCCCTTTGTGCGGGACATGGCCTCCTCTCTGGGCTCTGCGATGGCCCGAAGTATGTGCCCCGCCCCCGAACGGTGGTGCCCTGGGCTAAAACCTGAGTGCGGAGCGACGGCTGACGACGTGGGCGCCACCCTCCCTTCGATTCGCCTCCTCCCTCTCCTCAGGCCCGCGTTCGTCGCCGCCCGCCGTCTCGCATGCCTGGTCTTGCAGCCCTCCAAATGCTGCCTTGTTCCGCTGGCTGAGAGATGTTTCCCCGAAGTCGTCGAGCGAGTTCGTTCGTCTCTTCTCACCCTTGTGCCAGAATGGGGAGACTCTCACGTTAAAGGCGCCACCGAATTCTTAGGCTTCCAATTCGGTCCCGCCGCCACGCTCTCATCCCACTGGCTGAGCCCAGCGGCCAAATCTACAGCTAGAACGGCAGAGGTGGCCCTGAGCCGGGCTCCCGCTGAGGCCAGCTGCAGGATTTATAATTTCGGGATTCTCTCAGTGCTCAGCTATGTGTGCCAGCTTTTCCCTCCCCCTCCCTCTCTCCTCCGCTCCGAGCGTCACGTCCTTCACCGTCTCCTCCGCCTCCCTCCCAATTCCTTTGGCCTGGCTGAGCTCCTGGGGATCAGGTCCTGGCTGCGATCGGCGGTCCCTCGCTCGCTCCGAGTCCTGGCCGGCAGTTCAGCCTGGCGGACGGCGGCTCACACTCTTCGGCGGGACGGGGTGGGCGGATGGGGGGAGAGCCTTGAGTTGCTCCGCGGCCACGCCGAGATGCACGGCTCTTTCGGCAGCCGGGCTTCGGGGGCCCTCGCGACAGAGATTTGGGAGCGTCGGAGCTCGATCGCCGAGTTCCTGGAGATGGTACTCCGCTCAGGGCCACCTGGCATCAGGCCTGAGGCCTGGGCCCCAGCGGCAGCGGCGGCGAGGGCGGAGTTGACGGCGGCCGCCACCGAGGAGCGCCGCCCGCGACCGCAGCGAATCCTCTCCTCCTCCCTTGAGGCTTCGCTCTTCCCCGATTCCCTCCCCACCTTGCTGCATCGTCGTATTTCCTCGTGGCTCCCCGACCTCCAGCCGCTGCTGCCGGCTGATCTTGAGGCTCGGTGGGGTGGTTTAAAGGCGATTCTTGCCCGATCCCCCCATTCGTGGGCATGGGCCCACCTGAAGACGTTGGCCGGAGCTTGGACGACTTCGGCCCGCGTTCCGAGTGCGCCACAGGCCTCATGTCTTTTCGGGTGCCGTGCCACCGATTCGTTCGCCCATTATCTCCAGTGCCCCCGCCTCCTCCACCTCCTCGCCCTTCCTCGTGGAGCCCTCCCTTCTTGTCCTCTCACTCGTCTGGGGCTCGGCCCCCACCCCGATCGCGAGATCGAATATCCACGTTTACGATGTCACCGAATCGTAGTCCTAAGCTTTCACATTTACCATAAACTGAAAGCGGACCTTGCGCGGCGGCCGCAGGCTGCCCTGCCTTCATACCATTACCAGATACGATCTGCTGCATTAGCCGCTATGCGAGGCTAGTGCTGTGCAGTAGCTGTGGCACTGTCTTCCCAGCTACGTGCGCTCCTCCTCCTCCTCCTCCTCCTCCTCCTTCTCCTCCTCCTCCTCCTCCTCCTCCTCCTCCTCCTCCTCCTCCTCCTCCTCCTCCTCCTCCTCCTCCTCCTCCTCCTCCTCCTCCTCCCCCTCCTCCTCCTCCTCCCCAGACCTCCGACGCCGCCGTCCGATGCACGGCCGCGGGAGGCCAGGCGGGCCCTCTCCCTCTCACTTCCCCCCCCCAAACCGCTCGCCGCCGAGTCGGGTGCGTGAGCCCGCCTCCTCCTCCTCCTCCTCATCCTCCATTCCCTCCTCCTCCTCCTCCTCCTCCTCCTCCTCCTCCTCCTTCTCCTCCCCCTCGCCGCGAAGTTGTTCCCGTGCCGCGGGTGCTCTGGCCGTCCTGCGGCCCTCTCCTTTTTTTTCGTTCTGCCTTCCCCTGCCTTTGTGTTCCAGGTCGTTCCAGATGCGCCCCGCCGTTGGCCGTTCGCCTGCTGGGCCCAGCTCGCGGTCAAACGTTGCTTGAGGTAGTTCCGTGTTTCGTTGAGTTCACGTTTTTCTTTGGACGTTTGCTTCAAACGAGCTCGTTAGCTGCGCGCATGTGTTGGGATGCTCGTTAAACTGCTCGTTGTGTGTGGCTTCGTTTCCAAGGGTGCAGTTCGCGATTCGTTTCGTTTGCCCCTTTCGCTTCACGTCTAGTTTCATCTTATATTTGTGTTGTGCCGCCGCTGGGATGCGATATCAGTTTTCAGCTGGTACCGTCACTATGGCTCATGTGGGGAGTAGAAGGAATTGAACTGATGTGTAAAATGTGTGTTGATGCTTTTTTTCATGGTAGAGTGCAACTGCATGTAGTTGTCCTTTCCTATTGTGACCAACGCTTTTTCCCTACCTAGGCTCTGCCTAGAAGGGTTCTACTCTGTTAGCTTAAAGGGGCCGGGCAGTGGAAAGCGCCCCGGGCGGTTCCTCCAGTCCCCGCCCCGCGGTTCCCCCAGTCGCGCCCCCTGGGCTCACCCAGCTTAGCTTAGCTTTGCCTAGCCTAGCTTAGCTTAGCTTAGCTTAGCTTATCTCATCTTAGCTTAGCTTAGCTTAGCGTAGCTTTGCCCAGCCAAGCTTGGCTTAGCTTAGCTCAGCTCAGCTTAGCTTAGCTTAGCTTAGCTTATCTCATCTCAGCTTAGCTTAGTTTAGCTTCGCTTAGCTTGGCTTGGCTTTGCTTAGCTTAGCTTAGCTAATCTTAGCTTAACTTAGCCCAGCCTAGCTTAGCTTAGCTTAACTCAGCTTAGTATAGCTTAGCTTACCTTAGCTTAACTTAGCGCAGACCAGCAACGCGCAGCGCAGCATTAGCACAGCATAGCATATCATACCCAAACAATTATCCCAGTGCGACCCTACCTAGGAGCTGGAACCCCTAGGAAAGCAGCATTAGTAGTAACAGGAAAGCTAAGCTAAAGCTGAGATGAAGCTAAGCTAAAGCTAAGCTGAAGCTAAGCTAAAGCTAAGCTAAATCTAAGTTAAAGCTAAGCTAAAGCTAAGCTAAAGCTAAGCTAAAGCTAAGCTGAAGCTAAGCTGAAGCTAAAGCTAAGCTAAGCTAAAGCTAAGCTAAAGCTAAGCTAAAACTAAGCTAACGCTAAGCTAGAGCTAAGCTAAAGCTAAGCTAGAGCTAAGCTTAAGCTAAGCTGAAGCTAAGCTGAAGCTAAGGTAAAGCTAAGCTGAGGCTAAGCTAGAGCTAAGCTAAAGCTAAGCTGAAGCTAAGCTGACGCTAAGCTAGAGCTAAGCTAAAGCTAAGCTGAAGCTAAGCTGAAGCTAAGGTAAAGCTAAGCTGAGGCTAAGCTAAAGCTAAGCTACATCTAAGCTAAAGCTAAGCTAGAGCTGAGCTAAAGCTAAGCTAGAGCTAAGCTGAAGCTATTCTAACGCTAAGCTAGAGCTAAGCTAAAGCTAAGCTAAAGCTAAGCTGAGGCTAAGCTAGAGCTAAGCTGAGGCTAAGCTAAAGCTAAGCTGAAGCTAAGCTGACGCTAAGCTAGAGCTAAGCTAAAGCTAAGCTGAAGCTAAGCTGAAGCTAAGCTGAAGCTAAGCTAAAGCTAAGTCAAAGCTAAGCTGAAGCTAAGCTAAAGCTAAGCTTAATCTAAGCTAAAACTAAGCTAAAGCTAGGCTAAAGCTAAGCTAAAGCTAAGCTGAAGCTAAGCTGAAGCTAAGCTAAGCTGGGTGAACCCAGGGGGCGCGACTGGGGGAACCGCGGGGCGGGGACTGGGGGAACCGCCCGGGGCGTGTAGCACTGCCCGGCCCCTTTAAGCTAGAGAGTAAGAACCCTTCTGGGCAGAGCCTAGGTAGGGAATCATAGCATAGCATAGCATAGCATATCATAGCATAGCATAGCATTGCATAGCACAGCTCAGCATATCACAGCATAGCATAGCAAAGCATAGCATTGCATTGCTTAGCATAGCACAGCGCAGCATAGCATAGCATAGCATAGCATAGCATAGCATAGCATAGCATAGCATATTGTTGCTTTCCTAGAGGCTCCAACTCCTAGGTAGGGTCGCACTGGGATAACATTGTACAATTCGTTTCGTGCTTCGTCGTTTGTTCGTGAGGTTCATGGAGACATTGTCCTGAGTCACCCGTGCACGCGCTGACGCAATTCGAAACGCATACCCAGTGGCAAACCGCGACCCCATGTTGGGGCTCAGCCTGTCAGTGAAACATATGGTTTTCGCCACCCACTTTTCGAGTGGCCCAGCCGCGGCTAGGTCACCCGTGCGTGCGCTGGCGCAGTTGGATCCTCATATCAAGTGACAGTGCATGGCCCTATGCTGGAGCTTGTACTGCAAGAGCAACAATTGGTTTTCACCATCCTGTTTTCGCGTAGCCCGCCCGCGGGTGGTTCACCCGTGCGCGCCCCAGCGACATTGGGGACGCATATCGGGCGACATTGCATGGCCCCGTGTCGGGATTTCGAAAGCAAGTGGAATAATTGTTTTTCGCCCCCAGCGGTTCGGGTGACCCGTCCACGAGTGGTCACTCGTGGAAGCGCATATCACATGACAATGCAGCAATGCAGGACACAATGCTGGATTCATAACATTCAAACGCAACTGATATAACTGTCTTCCGCCACCTCGTGTTGAGGTGACCCGCCCGCGGATGGGTCACCCGTGCACGCTAGCGCAAATGGGACCGCATACCAAGTGACAATGCATGGCCGCGTGATGGGTCGTAGAGTCCACGTGAAGCAATTGTTCATCACCGTCCAGTTCTCAGATGACCCGCCCGCGGCTGGGTCACCAGCGCGCGCGCCGGCGCAATGGAAAAAACACATACGCCCCGCGGCCCAGAACAGGTTGTTTTCACCGCCAAGTTTTCGGTTGATCCCGCCGCGGCTTGGATACCCGTGAAATTCATATCATGCCATCATGGATGGTCTTCGCCATCCAGTTTTTGGTTGACCTGCCAGCGGCTGGGTCACCCGTGCGCCCGCTGTGGCAAATGCGCGCGCGGGCGCCATCAGAAACGCATTTCAATTGACAGCAAAGGTTTCATGTTTACACTTGTAGTGCAAGTGACATCATTGGCTTTCGCCAGCCAACTCTGGGATGACCCGTCTGCGGCTGGGTCAACCTTGTTCGCGCCGGTGCGATTGGAGACGCAGGTCGCATGACAGTGCTGGGCCCTACAGTGAGCGGCTTGAAATAGGAACACTTGCTTTTCAAAAGAGGCTCGGTCGTTCCTTAGGTTTGCATGCGTTCCGCTGGCTGTTTGGCGCTAGAAGGGGGCTTCGTTCCTTGTTCACAGTTCCTTAGGTCAGGCCGATGACTGCATGTGCGGGATCAGAGCTCAACAGAAGAGTTGGCTTTCGCCCCCCCTTTTCGGGTGACCCGGCCGCGGGCGGGGGCCCGTGCGCGCGCTGGCGCAACTAGGAACACAGATCCAGTGACAGTGCAGGCCCCAGTGTGGGGTCTGGAGTGCAAGTCGAACAGGCGGCTCTGGCCACGCAGTTTTCGGACGACCCGGCTGCGGCGGGGTCGTCCGAGCGCGCCCCGGCGGCATTCGGGCGCATGCTACATGACCATGCGGGACTCTCGGGAAGAGCGTGCGTTTTGCCACCAGGCTCTCGGGTGACCAGTCAGCAGGTGGGCAGCCCGTTTGCGCGTAACTTCGAGAGCGCTTCAAGGGACCATGTTTGGCCCGATGTTCGTTCCGAACATACAATTATGTCGGGCATGTCCCTCTACAGAGGGAATATCCCCAAATAGTAAAACAGTAGTCTGGGGACGATGTTTAGACTGTTGTTGCGCAGTTGTTGAATCTGTCCCTTTTTTTTGTTTCCTATTTTTAGCGTTTCGCCCGAAGTCGTCCTGAAGGGGGACAGGCCCGACCTAAACATACAAGTGACGGAAACGGTTTCCTCCACCTCCTGTGGAGGATGCGCAGGTCGTGGGCCCATGCCTCCAGTCGTCCTTGGAGTTCAGTTGCCTCGGGCGAGGCCAGCTGGGCAATCTAGATGCGCAAGTCCTGGCGTCCGACGGTGCCCAGACAAAAAGTTTCCACGCCGACGGCGTGAAGACAATCAGGCACGATGGCAACGACGCTTGCAATATACATGCGGTTCGCCCCCCCTCACCCCCAAACCCAAAGGTAAAGTGTCCATATTTTCCCCCGCGCGTTGCCTCGCATCCAACCCTGTCAACTTTGGGTTGGGGGGGCGGGGGCTACGAATATTGGTTCGACGCACTTCCATGTCGTACCATCTTGGCGCGATGGGTGTGGACACATTATGTCAACCCACCAGAGGGATTGATCTTCCTGTCCGAAATATTAGGACCTGAAGTCCTTGAATTGCAACGGGAGGCTTTGGCGCGCGCTGCTCCTGCTCAGATCCAGCAGTGCTGGTCAATGCTGCTGGAGTCGATGCGTGATAGATTTTGCTTTTCGTCTGGGCAAGACCACGAACTTCCTTCAGCTTCCGCTTGCGCTCAGATTTCCTCCCCTCCCCACATCTGGCCCCCGGAAAACAGGGCAAAGACTAACCAGGATATTGGTAAGCCGGAGAAACGATACCATTTCCTGCTACGTCAGATTCGGTCGTCTTGTCAATGCTCCGTTGCTTCAAGGGTTCGGGTCTTTGTCCGGGTCGATGGGAGGTTTTTGCAGGCTTTGAGGATTGTTGTTTGGGGTTATTCCGGGAATGTTGTGCTACAGTTGTTTGTTCGTGTTGCCGTCTGGAAAGAACGGTTTCGAGGGATGTTAGATGTCGAGTCTAGCGTGTTTGGGTTTATGGCGCCTTGGCCACAACAAAACACAGGCGAACGATCGATGCAAGATATTCTGGGCAAGCTGGCAGGATGAGGAAGCTACGCAAGGGGCCTTGTCTGCAGTCTCGCAGGGCCCCCAAACCTTCATCTCTCGTCTACCCTTGCACCCTCGACGATAAAACAGGTAAGCAAGAGCCCGTTTTTTATTGCTTGGGGCATGACGGGCGTCATGGCCCCCGGCGCCCCCCCCCCTATGACATAACGCTCCCCCCTCCAGTGCGCTCCGGGCACTGCCCCCCAGTGCGCTCCGAGCATTGCCGCTGTGCGCATTGGGATCCGCGTAGGTGTCCGCGTAGGAATCCGCATAGGAGTCTGGTCCGCAGTCGTCGTCGTCGTCGTCGTCGTCGTCGTCGTCGTCGTCGTCGCTCGTGGCTTGTCGCTAGTCGCTCATAGTCGTCGTGCGCGCGGACGCGGCTGAAGCCTGTTTTTTTATTCTGGGCCGATGACGGCAATCATGTAGGGGGGGATTGAGGGGGTCGATGACGTCACGTTCCGCGCCGGCGGCGTTTGGGAATGCCTAGGAATGACGGAGGACGGGTAGCGCCAGCATGTAGGTGGCGATTTGCACCACAACGCGCGTGTACACCACAGTGCCCGCGTGCACCACAGCGCCTGTGTACACCACCGCCTATGTACACCACAGCCGCCGCGTGCAACACAGCACCAGTTTGTGCCACCGTGCCTGCGGGCACAACAGCTCCTTTGCACACCACAGCGCTTGCGTTCACCACATCAGCCGTGTGCAACACCGCACCAATATACACCACAATGCTTGGGTGCATTGCAGTGCCTGTGTACACCACGGCGCCTGCGTGCACCACAGCAACCGTGTGCAACACAGCACCATTGTTGTATATAGAATGTGAGAACGAATCATTATGACAAAATGGAGCGCCTGTGGATTCCACAGAAAACAATACAAAATAATCTTGATGGACAACGGAGCGCCGCTGGAATCTACGTGTCCTCCCGAGTCCGTCCGCATCACCCTGACTCCTCCCTTTGCGGACAGGAGGTTCCAGCTAAATTGGCCGTCCGAGAACCAAGTGGACCGATTCAATAGACCATTCTGCGGTGCGCGCTGAGATGCGCACGTGTGCTGTAGCGCCAACCCGCACAACAGGGGGTAAGGAGGAGGAGGAGGAGGAGGAGGTGGAGGTGGAGGTGGAGGAGGAGGAGGGAGGAGGGAAGAACGTCGCATTCGATTATCAGCAATTTCCTTGCGTGGCGCCTAGTTGTCCGCAGCAGATCCTCACGAACATGCTCCTTCTACGTGTCCTATTCACGCAGGCATTGTGGTGTATTCCAGCGCTGCGCTGCACGCGGATGCTGTGGTGTAGACGCGCGCTGTGGCGTGCATAGGCGCTGCGGTGCACGCAAGCACTGTGGTGTACACAGGCGTTGTGTTGCACATAGCAGCTGCGGTGTGCAATTGTACGCCAGCGCTGTGGTGCGCGCAAGCATTGTGGTGTACACAGGCGCTGCGTTGAACACGGCTGTCGCGGTGTACGCAGGCGTTGTGGTATATACGCGTGCTGTGGTGCACGCGAGCGTTGTGGTGTACACAGGCGCAGTGGGGCATATCGCCACCTACATGCTGCTCGCGTCGTCGACGTCGCCGTCGTCGTCTTCGTCGTCTTCGTTGTCGTGATCGTCGTGGTCGTCGTCGTCGTCGTCGTCGTCGCTCGTCGCTCGTCGCGTCGCGCGCGCGGGCGCGGCTGCAGTGCCGGAGCCACACGGCGGGGGGGGCGTTACGTCATCCCCCCCCCTCGTCCCCCCCCCCCCCCTGATGCCCGTCATCGCCGAACATGAAGAAACGCGCTTCAATGCTGCTTCTGAGCTATGTTGCCCAGGGAGAGTCTAAATGAACGAAGGTCGCAATGGTTCTTCGAATGCAGCTTTCTTTCGGCGTCGCAGCGGAGGGCTGTCATTTTTCAAATGGGAACGCCGAATCCGTTTGATCTTCTAAGAGTGCGCCTGCACCAGTAATATGTGCGATTTGTTACAACATTCTCAACGGCAGTTCCGTATCCGTCTAGATCCCAAATTGGAACCAGAAACGGCGCTCGAGCTCCACAGCCCAGCCCCGAAAGAAAAACCCCTGGGTGGGGCTCAGCCTGGATTTACTTCCTCGGAGCTCTCGGAGGAGGCGGAGGAGGAGGAAGGAGAGGAGAAGGAGAAAGAGGAGGAGGAGGAGGAGGAGGAGGAGGAGGAGGAGGAGGAGAAAGATGAGGAGAGGAGGAAGAGGAGCAGGAGGACGAGGAGGAGGAGGAGGAGGAGGAAGAGGAGGAGGAGGAAGAGGAGGAGGAGGAGGAGGAAGACGAGGAGGAGGAGGAGTGTACGATCACCTGCTCCGGGGGCCTTCGAGGCACGAAGCACGAAAATCGGCCCTGCACAGTGCAGGACCGCGCCCCGGCTTTTCTCAGAGTTTTTCTCCTCCCCCTCCTCCTCCTCCTCCTCCTCCTCCTCCTCCTCCTCCTCCTCCTCCTCCTCCTCTCCCTTCTCCTCTTCCTCCTCCTCTTCCCTCCTCCTCCCCCTCCTCCTCCTCCTCCTCCTCCTCCTCCTCCTCCTCCTCTCCCGCTGGCGGCGTGGGAACCGAGGAGACCGGGACTGGCTCGAGCAGGCTGGGGTCCCGGCCCGCCGAAGGCGGCCTTCGAAGCGCCAGCGCGCACTCGGCGCGCCGTCCTGGCTTCAGGATTCAGTTCCTGGGAGGTTGCATGTAGCTCGGTATCGTTCAACCGATCCCCGTCCCCATCCCCATCCCCATCCAGACCACCAGCATCCTTGCACCTCAGTTGGGGACACACACCCCGAAACCCGAAGGGAACGGCCTATATCCCCATCTAGGGGGTCAATCGGCCATTGGGGGCCCAGGCCACGCCGTTGGGGATGGGGACCGGTTAAACGATGCTCATTAGCATCGGTGCTGGTACATCCGCGGACGGAAACTGGTCCAATCCAGCGTAATCCCGTTTAATCTGGCGCAGAGTCTTCCAATCTGGTTCATTGGGCTCAGTCTTGAGCGATATGGCTTCATGGCCCCCCAGTCGGGCTTACGCCCATCAGAAATCCCAAGACAAAAACATCAGCGGTCATGTACTTCAGATTTTGTCTAAGAAATCAGCAATCTGGACTGGACCCTGGGCGTTTTGTTGGAGCTACTGTTGTCGTGAAATGTTCGCGTATACATATATATATGTATGGTCTGGGACTACGGTTTAAGAACACGCTTGGAGCGACGTCCGTTTTCTTGGCCAGAAACAGGCTTAGATCTGGGCAGGGGTGTCGGAACATTGCACTATACTTGCGAAGGCCGCCCAGGAGGTGTTTCCTATCCTGCCAGCGGCGGGGGCGCCACTGCCCAGCTGCCAGCCCAGGGCGGCGAAGGGCGGGCGCGAAGGCATGGCGCAGCCGTCGGCGCTGCCGCCCGGCATGACCTTCTCCGTGAGGCGGTCTGCGCAAGACGACGTCGACACGATCGCCGCGCTGTTCGACCGGACCTTCGACAACGACGTGCCCACCGATTGGTTCACGCGCTTTCACGCGCTCCCTGAGGCTGGAGGGGTGTGCGTAGGTGCATGCGTGTGTGTGTGTGTGTGTGCACTGGCTCCCACCTTACTCCACCTCGTCGCTGCGCGCGAGGCATTGACCGCCAAGAGTGTGTGTGTGTGTGTGTGCGCGCGTATGTGTGTGTGTGTATGTGTGTGAGTGCGTACGTGCATTCGTGTGCGTGTGCTTGTGTGCGCGTGTGAGTGGGTGTACGTGCGTGTGTGTGTGTGTGTGTGTGTGTGTGTGTGCTAGTGTGTGTGAGTGTGCGTGCGTGCGTGCGTGCGTGCGTGCGTGCGTGCGTGCGTATGTGCGTGCGTGCGGGCGTGCGTGCGTGCGTGTATGTGTATGTGCCTGTGTATGTGTGTGTGTGTGGGTGTGTCTGTGTGTATGTGTGTGTGTTTGTGTGTGTGTGCATGCGTGTGTGTTTGAGCTTGTGCCTTCGTCCGCTTCCTCCCGCATCGCTCCCCCATCCCCCTTTGCTTACCCTCCCCTCGGTTTGCCGCCCCTCGTCCCCCCCCCCCCTCGCGGCGGCCTCCCCGCGAGTCGTGCTGCGCAGTTTCCCATGTATGAACCTGGCACGCCCTGCCGCTTCCGAGCCGTGCCTCCCTCGCGCTCTCCCCTCGTCGGCCGTTAGCCTGACTTCGCCGCGCTGCTGCTCGCGCAGCCGCGATGCAAAAGTGTGTGTGTGTGTGTGTGTGTGTGTGGGTCTGTGTGTTTGTTTGGTGTGTGTGTGAGCGCGAAAGGCGGATGGGAGCGGTCTGGAGGAGCTGGCGTGGAAATCTCACAGTCTTGATGGCCAGATTGTGCTTCTGGAGTTCCATGAGTGCATGCGGCATGCTGGGATGCGCACCCGTACTCCTGCGCGGGAGTTCAGAGGAGCAGTGGCAAATCCATTTCGTGTCGGGATCCGAGGGCCGCATGAAGACCCCGGCCATGAAGCAGAGCTTCTTCGTCTCGCTCATCGAGACGTGCTTCATGAGCGTCACCATCGAGGACGACGAGGGCCACATCGCAGGTTTCGTGGCACTGGACGACGCGCCCCTGCAGATGGTGCGCAATGCGCCCGTGGGGACTTACTGGGAAGATTGGCTCCAGCAAGCCTGCGACGAGCCGTCAATCGACAGCACCAACTCGCTCTGGCTCGTATGTTGCCTGGTGGAGTCCGAGGCTGCAACAGGGCGCCTTGAACAATTGGAAAGCAGCTCGTTATTTCTTGTTCTGGCTTTGCTGTTGGAGGTTGTGTGGGCAGATGCAATGTTTGCGACCCCCTGTCTGACCAGACATCGTTGGAGGCTCGGGATGGTGATTTGAGAGGCCCTCCCTGGGAGACTCCGGGGCCACGGAGGCCTGGAGCCCTCCGGGGCCCTGGTGACTCTGGGAGTCAGGTGAGGACTGCAGTCAGCCTGCACAGTAAGGATGGGCAGTACCTAGGTCGGGTCGGGCGAAAGGGGGGGATTGGGAAAGGAGGGGTTACGAAATTTGCTGCATGCAGCTGGTTTCGGCCTCACCGAGGAGCCCATTCCTCGATACATAGCCCCCTCCGGCGCCGGGAGGCGCCGGGAAAATCAGCTACGTGAGCTGATTCTCAAACCCCCCCTTTGCTATCCCCCCCTTTCGCCCGACCCGACTAGGGCCCTAGGGCACCCTCGCATCCTTACCCCTTCGGCCCATTCTTGGCGACTTTCGCTGGCCAACCTCGTTCGAAACACGTTAAAATTTGCCTCAAAGGCCCTTGCTTCTTATCCTTATGACACGGGTTGACTGTAGAAGGTTTGGGAGAGGGCAAGGGAGGCGCGAAGGATGTGGTTTGGGGCCGAAGGTTGGGGGGTGGGGGACTTCTGCCAGTCTGCTGAAGCCCGCCCGGCGCCCCATCCTGCCCTATTCTTCGCGGCCTAAGCACATGTACACGCGTGCGCGGTTGTGCACTAGGGTGTGCTGAAGTCCACCGTCTCTCTCCCCTGCCCCCCTCGGCGGCGGCGTCGCACGTTCACTCGTGGCCTCGCCCAGCTGGCTGCTGAAGTCAAGTATGCCCCGCATCCCCCTGAGAAGCTTGACACCGCAAGTTGGGACAACATTGTTGTTCGCCAGGTTGGTAGAACGGTCGCCGATCCCACGCGAGACTATCGCACACCGAAGTTGCGCCGCCCTCCAAGCTCGTCCTCACCAGGAGGGCGGTCGGGTCCTGCCCATCTTGTCATCACAAGTGTCGGCTCTGTGATCGTACAGTTCAGCCACGTCTGGGCGACTATCCGACCTGACGCTTCTGTTTCTGATGTTTACTGCACTGCTGCGTTCCCAGAATTTCATGCTGCTGATCCTCCCCCCTTCTTCAGGAACAACGTCGGGTGGGGCTAGGCTCAGGGGGGATGCATCGGCCACCAATCGCCCATTCATCGACGATCAGGGGCCCGATAGCCCAGCCCACCCATGAGCGCGCGCATTGGTTATCGGGGGCCTACTGCCGATCTGTGAGCGATACATCGCCGATTCCAGGTCGATGCTTCCCCCCTGAGCTGGTCCCCCCCCCTAGCGTTCCCCCTGACCAGTGAGGCAGCTGTTATGGCCGAGATATTGCGCAGCACGTTCTCGACCTTGACGGACGTCCAGAACTTGCTTGTGTACGTGCCCGGCGGGATGGCGGAAGACGAGGCGGCTGGACCGAGAGTGGAGGGGGCAAAGGGAAGAAGGAGCGCGTGGGAGAGCCCCGTACGAGCAAGGAAGGCGAGTGACGAGGTGGAGTTGGAGGGTGACCAGTGATGGTGGTGATGGCGACGGAGAGGGTGAAGAAGAAGAAGAAGAAGAGGACGGTGTGGAAGAGGACTTGGGATCCGGGGGGGCAGATCGGTAGTTCGAGCGAGTCAGCGGGGCCCCGCCTGGTCCCACCCGACCTCCGAGAACGTTGGAGCCAACGTCGATACCGTTTAACCCATCAGTTGACAACCAGAGACCGGTTCGGCCATTTTGATGCGTCAGTCCCCACGCGTAGTAGCCATATCATGCGGCACGCTTGAGGGAGCGGGAAAAGCAGGACGGCCGCTTCGCCCCGCACTCCTCAATTTATTATGGTGCGCAGTTAACTCGCACGGTCAATGATTTTGGCCTCTCGGGGCCCTTTTGGGGCACTTCTTGGAGCCCTCTTGGGGCGTCTTGGGAGCTTCTTTGGCCGACTGGACGCCATTGTGGGCGTCTTGGGGCGATCTTTGGGCGACTCGGGGCACTCTTGGGCCGTCTTGGGGGCATCTTGGAATCATTTTGACCCGTCTGGGGGCCGCTTTGCTTCCAGAAGAGTCACGCGTGGACACGCGACACACCCCAGGAGCGCCTGGGAGCGCCCAGAACTCCGGGCTGCGAACCCTTTAAAGAGTATCGCAGTCATCGAAACATAAGACTCTAAGGGACCTGCGGACACTCACTTTGTGCTTCGAGGCACGGTGGCGGATAACACACTAGGTCATCATGTTCCAGGGAGGCTGAAGTCTCCAGCGATATCCCCAAATTGGAAAGAAACCGCTCTCCATCAGTGTAGCTTTCGCATAGTTCTAGGTATCAGATCACCAGGAGCACAGAAGTCCCAGACATCATTCCGTGAACTGTTGAAATCTTGTAAGGCGAATGCGCTCGGAGGCGACAACGTCATGTGAAAACGGAGCCGCCCTCTGTCCGCTTACATCTCACAAGTTGGTGAGATGAACTTGCGCGGCGCCCAGGCGAGAGCCACACTTTGAAAACGGAGCTTCTCTCCATAAGTGTACTTGTAGAAGGCGTTGAAGGCGAATGTGCGCGGGCGCTGAGGTGAGGGCCACAGTCAACCCTCATAGTAAGGATGGACAGCCTTCCCAAGGGTACGCCTGCATCCTTGCCTCCTCGGTCCATCCTTCGCCATGTTCGTTGGCTGCGCCCCGCTCGAGAAGCTTCGACATAGGCGTCCGAGGCCCTTACATCCTTACCGCGGATCTTTATGATATGGGCTGGCTGAGCAGACACATGTCGTGGTCAGACGACGGGGAGTTATCCATAAGCACAAAAGACGGGCGAGGGAGGGTGGAGGATGGGCACTTGTATTTCCAATCCTGGAGGCACGTGCGCGGATCTGACGCGTGAGTTCCGGAGAGCGGAAAGCCAGGCTTGTTTTGGAGGACGGAGGGGAGAAGGTCGGATGAGACCAGGACGTTTTAGAGCGTTCCCGAACGCTCTCGGAGCGTTTCGGAAGGCTTTGAGAAGGCCGCGGCGCCCGATACATTTTCCAGAGCCGCCGGACCTCAGAGATTTTCGGTTTATCTTCACCCGAATTCATCCTCGCCCTGGCTTCGTCTTAGAAGAGGACCAGGAGGAGGAAGACGAGGAGGAGGGAAGAGGACGAGGAGGAGGAAGGAGGAGGAGGAGGAGGAGGAGGAGGAGACGAGGAGGAAGAGACGACGAGGAGAAGGACGAGGAGGAGGGAGGAGTAAGAGGAGGAGGAGGACGAGGAGGACGAGGAGGAGGAGGACGACGTCGAGAAGGAGGAGGAGGAGAACGAGGACGAGGAGGAGGACGGAAGGACGTAAGTGTGAGGTGGCGGAGGGAGGGGGGACGGGAGGCAACTGCCAGTTCTTGGGCGGAGCGGGGGGCGCGCGGGCCGCCGCGAGGCTGTCCAGATGCTGGACCCCTTCGAGGCGCGTCTCCACCCCCAGAATGGAGTAAGTCTTCCCGAGCCGCCCCTCGCCCTCGTGTTGTGTCTTCGGTAATCGTACAACAAGAGTGTGGTAACGATTGTTCTTTTTTGAACAGTTCGAAAACGTGTTGGGCGTTTTTTGCCAGCCCTCCTCCAAAGTCCGCCTGTAGGAGGACATGCCCGACCCAATCCAATCTTGAAGGGCTTTCCTTATTCCCGTACAGTCAGTGTGCAACTGTTGGTATTACAATTCATGAGTACTTTCTATCGGGCAGATTTGTGGATCCACCGTCATGTTCTCAACCTCGTTGCATCCGTAGCCACCTCGGCCACGATGGCGCGTTTTCGGAGCGCCATGGCGCGGGCTCCAGCAGAGCAGCGCAAGCTCGATGATGTTAGGAATCTTAGGGCCGAGGCGGGCGAAGTTGGGATCGAGCCTGGCAGTCGCCAGGTGGCTGCGCCCCGGGGCGTGGATGGGGGCATCCGCGGGGCGGGGCGGGCCTGGGCGGCTTCTCGGCCGCCTGTCAACGCGCGCCAATGTTGCCACACATCGCGCTTCCCAACTCCATGGTGTGAGTCACGCTGGAGAGGGCTTTCTCCTACAGTTTCAAGGCAATGCGCACCGACGTCGGCGACGACGACGGCGGCGACGCCCGAAGACGATTGACGATGACGACGACGACCGCGGGACCGAATCAGGACGCCGACCGACGAACGACGATTTGCGACAATTTCGAACCACGGCGACGGCTGACGACGAACAACGACGAGGACGCGTGGGCGGTGGAGTCGGGGTCCGCCCAGGGCTTCCGGGGAGGGTTCAGTCGGGGGCGCAGTCTGGAACATTCGGGGGATCATTCGTGGTTCACTCGGGCACGTTCCGGTTTTTCCGGGCTCATTCAGCCCAAGCGGGTGGCGTGTGAACCATAGGTTTCTGCCGGGTTTGCAGATCGAGGCGGCAAATTCGCTGGCAACCGCTCCCCGCCTCCCTTCTCGAACATCATTCAGCGGAGCCCCCGTCCCTGGGGGGGGGGGGCCTGGAGGCCGCAACCTCGCCGCGCTGCGAAATCGCCATGGCGCCTGGCGCCCGCAATGGCCGATTCTCGCGCCGCTAGACACGGCGGCCGCCATCGGGGGGAGATGATATGCGCGGCGTTCGGAGATGTGTTTCGTGCGCAGCTGGCAGGAGCGGCCCGCGCGTCCTGGAATTCGGCTTCGGCCGGCCGCTGTCGGCCTTCTGGATTGTTCCTTCTGAGATTTGACGACGGCGCCCGTGGGCGTCGTCGGTCGTTTTCGTCGGTCGGTCCGTCCGTCCGTCCGTCCGTCGTCGTCGTCGTCGTCGTGCGTGGTTGTTGGTCGGTCGGTGTGTCGTCGTCGTCGTCCGTCGGTCGTCGTCCGTCGGTCGTCGCCGTCGGCCGTCGCCGCCATCGTCGTTCGGTCGTCGCTTGTCGGTCGGTAGGTCGGTCGGTCGATCGGTGGTCGTTGTCGTCGATCGTTCGCTCGGTCGGTCGGTCGTCGTCGTCGTTCGCGGTCGTCGGTCGGTCGTCTGCCGCTCGGTCGCTCGGCCGCTGGCTCGCTCGGTCATTCGTTCGGTCGGCCAGTCGGTCGTCGTCGCCGTCGTTGTTATTCGTCGGCCGTCGCCGTCGGTCGATGTTCGGTCTCTCGGTCAGTCGGTCGGGCGGTCGGGTGGTCGGTCTGGCAGATTCAACGGCCGTCGCATGAGTGGGCAGCTACAGCGAGCCACGCTGCCACCGCGGCCTGAACTAACTCTTGCCATTGCTGACTCAAGGCAAGAGAACTTCCTCTTTCTGTGAAAAGTGCGATGAGGAGATCGCGAGACAAAGTCGGTGCCGCCGAGCGCACGGCGCCTGGGAGAGCTGTTCACAGCAACCAGGAGGAGATATGCCGTCATATTGAGTGGTGTCCGCGCGCACAGAGTGTCGATGGGAGTGCGCGGGGCAGCGCAGGGCCCATCCGGGGACATTGGTAAACGAACCCCCGTTCTCCGTATAATCTGTACACGGGCGGATTGCTGTTGCGGGGTCCGGGGATCTGTTTTTTGTTGGCTATATTTTATGTGATTTTTGAATTGTCCAGACGGGGTGGAAATTGGATCAGCGTGACAGAAAACAGGACAGGAATCGGATCCACAATGTCCAGAATCGGGTCCGCGCGCGCGGAAATCGGACCCGCCGAAATATACAGCTACAACCAAAATTGGACCCGCGCAAACCAATCGGATGCGTCGGCTCAGCACCTCCAGCCGTCGTCGCGGGCCCAAGGGCAAACGTCCTTGACCTTGGGGATATATACGGACACGCCCCATCAAAACTCTCACTGGCAAATTCGCCCATTGATTTGCCAGTTCGTGGCGTATTGTTGGTCGTGAAATTGATTTCGGACAGATTGTGGGGCCTAGCGTCACGTCCCCAACCGCATTGCATCCGTGGCGGCCTCAGCCCACATGCCGCGCTTTCGGAGCGCGCCATGGCGTCGGCTCCAGCACAGCAGCGCAGGCGCGAAGCAGTCAGACATCTTCGGGCCTTGGCGGGCGAAGACGGGGTGGAGACCTGGCAGTGGCAATGTGTGGCTGCGCCCTGGGGGCGTGGATGGGAGCATCCGCGGGGCGGGGCTGGCCTGGGCGGTTTTTCGGCCCCATGTCAACGCGCGCTGATTTTGGCGCACGTCGCGCTTCCCACCTCTCTGTTCTGAATCAGACTGGAGAGGGTTTTCTCTTAAAGTATCAACCAACGCAAACGCACCAGCGTCGACGACGACGACGACGGCGACGACGACAGCGACGCCCGAAGACGACGGGCGACGACGAGGACGACGACGACTGTCGGACCGAATCACGACGCCGACCGACGAACGACGATTAGCGACAATTTCGAACCACGGCGACGGCTGACGAACAACGACGACGCGTGGGCGGTGGAGTCGGGGTCTGTCCGGGGTTTCCGGGGAGGGTTCAGTCGGGGGCGCAGTCTTGAGTTTTTGGGAGTTCATTCGCGGTTCACTCGGGTTCATTCTGGTTCATTCGGCCCCAGCGGGTGGTGTTGCAACCACCGGTTCTTATATGACTCGGAACCGGGGATGACACGGAGATGACCGGAACTTTTTTTTTTTTTTTTTTTTTTTTTTTTTTTTTTTATATATAAATATATGCATGAAGGTACATACGTGCATGTATATGTATGCGTAGGTGTGTATGTATGTGCATTGTATAACTTAAAAGAGTGATCCCGTCTCTGGAGGGGGGGGGGGGCGGCGCGTCCTCGAAAAGCTCTTTTGTAGAATTTGACCTGCCCCGCGCGTTGTAAAATTTGATTTTGGCCGGTCGCAATCGGCCTTCGAGTTTCGGCCGTGTAGGACTACGACGGCTTCCGTGGGCGTCGTCGGTTTTTGTCGTCGGTCGGTCGGTCCGCCCGTCGTTATCTTCGTCGTCGTCGTCGTTCATCGCTGTTGGTCGGTCGGTCTGTTGTCGTCGTGGTCCGTCAGTCGTCGCCGTCGGTTGGTCGTCGTCGTTCGGTCGTCGTCGGTCGGTTGGTCGGTCGGCCGGCCGGTCGGTCTGTCGGTGGTCGTTGCTGTCGTCGTTGTCTGTCGGTCGTCGGCGTCGGTCGGCATCGTCGTCATCGTCGATCGTTACGTCGGCCTGTCAGTTGGTCGTCGTCGTCATCGTCGATCGCTCGCTCGCTCGGTCGGTCGTCGTCGTCGTCGTCGTCGTCCGTGGCCGTCGTCGTCGTCGTCGGTCGGTCGCTCGGTCGTTCGACCGCTGGGTCGCTTGGTTCGTTGTTCGGTCGGTCGGTCGGTCATCGTCGCCGTCGTTGTCAGTCGTTTGTCGTCGCCGTCGGTCGTTGTTCTGTTTTTCGGCCGGCCAGTCCGGCGGGTTTAGCGGCTGTCGCATGGGTGGGTGGGCAGCTAGAGCCAGCCACTCCTCCACCACGGCCTGAACGAATCATAGTCGCTACTTCCGCAGGACGAACATTGTCCTCTTGTGGTGAAGCGACAATGTTGAATTCGCGAAACAACATCGGTGCCTCCGAATGTACGGCGTCTGGACGGGCTGTTTGCAGCAACCAGAAAGAGAGAGATTCTTTCAGATTGGGTGGGGCCCGCCCGCGTGGATATCATATTGGCACAGGCGAGACAGCGCAGGACCCATCCGCGGAAGTTTATTACCCCCCCCCATCCCCGTAGGATCTTAACACGGGTGGGTTGTTGTTGCGGGGTCCGCGGATCTGATTTCTTTTGTTCTTCCGTTAAACGCTTGATCATATAAATTCAACGCGGGGAGAGCACCTGATCCGTGTGAAGAAAAGTCGGAAACCTCATCCACAACATCCGAAATCGGATCCGCGGGTGCGGAGATTGGATCCACCGAAGCAAAACCAAAACCGCAGTTGGATCCGCGCGAAGGTTGTTTCAAACGCGTTAACTCAAGACCTCAAGCCGTCGATTCTGGGCCAAATGGGACAAACTTTCGAGTTTCGTCCTTGGGGTGTAGATTAAACACCTCGTCGATGTTCTAATTCGCAAATGAATCCACTGACTGTACATCCCCCCTTCTTCTCAAGACCCTTTTGGCGTCGCGAAGGAAACACGACTGAGTTTTCCCAGATCTCCGACGATCTGATCTTTGTTTCATCCGAGCGTTTTTGAGGGATGTCGGCCTCCAGGAACCCTTTTCGGGCCCCAGGACAATTGTTCTTGGACTTGGGACGACAAACCAGCCTTGCGGAATGGGTTGGGAGATTTGATGCCGCACAGTGAGACATCAGATCGACGGATGTCAGTGACGGAGGCATTTGTGCAGTTTTCGGTCTTCGGGAGACCGTTGCTTGGCCCATGGCCCGGCAACAAACGACGCAGAATGAAGACCCGATCCCGGGGGGGGTCGGTACCTCTGGGGTCCATACTGCAAGCGAATCGCGAATCCGAGGGTCTTCTTGAGGGATCTTCTCGTGTCCAAAACCTGGATAGCGATGCGCCACAAACTTTTAGAAGGTCCTTCGACGGAGCTTTCGAAGCTCTGGGGAGGCGCTTCTGGAAAGCATCAGGGCACGCGCGTTGGGAAACAGTTCGAACAAGTCTTCCGGGACAAGCTGCCGGCTCGCAGTTGGCTCTGCGGGGATTATTCCCGGAAGTCGGAACGATCTCCGGGGCCACCCGTGCTTGTCGGCTTCTAATGTGAAACCCGCTTCGCTCTCTACGAGTTATCCGGTGGAAACAAAACACTGGCACAGAGAAGCGTCGATTCCCAAGAGCAAGCGTGGGGAAACATGGGAAGTTGCGTGGAAGACGAAGATGAGCTTTGGGATTTGTGCCCATCTATTGGTGTGTCCCAGGGCCCCTTCCGTCGAGACCTTCTAAGAGTTCACCCTACGACCAGATCGCGACTCCGAGGGACTGGGGCCCTCTCGCGAAGGGACCCATTCCTCCCTCCTTCCCCTCCCCCCTCCTGCTCGTTGCTTCCCTCCCTTTCCTTTCCTCCTGCTCCCTGCCTGCGTCCTGCGTCGCTTCCTCTTGGCGGCCATGGATACACTAGTATTATTCCCATGTCGTGGGTCGTGAACCACAGCTTCCCAAAATGAAGGAAAGGTAGTCTCCGCCTGGCTCCTCTTTTGCCTGCCCGCCCGCCCCGCTAGCCCTGACCTCCCGCTTGGGCGTTCGTCGTCTGCTGCCTGCTCTCCCCTCCTCGCCCCCTTCCGCCAGACAGCACAGCCTGCCCAGGACCCCTCCCCCCTTCTCCGCCGTGGGCCCCGCTCTGCACCCAAAGCGAAGGCAGAATCGAGACAACATCGGGCCGATGCAAGCGGAGAGTCTCTGAGGATCGGCGGGCTTGGATGAGGTGTCGGGCGCCGCGGTCGTTTCAGAGCGTCCTGGAACGCTCTGGAACAGATCCAGCTCGATTCAAGGCCCGTCCGAACACCCTCGTTCCCTCCCTTACCCCACGCAGAAGGCACCTGTACACATCACCACCATGCCTGGCCTGGGCCACCCTGGACATGCCTGTGTCTTCTGAATACGAGGGCCTCCACCTCCTCATCCCCCTTCTTTTTCACAGTAGCTTCGCGTCGTGTCGACAGGCGGCGGTCCCGCCGCCAGCGTTCCACGTTGAACGCCGTCGGCGACCCAGAACTGGTCGATGCTGAACGATCGGACGTTTCGGCAGCGGCCGATCCTTCAGGGTGGAAGGATCCCCGCGGTGTCGGGAACCAGCGCTGGGGTCGACACGGCTCGAACCTGCCGTGCCCGGCCCTGCCCTCGGAGCCTCCTTTTTATCACATACACCACGCTGTCAGTTTCAACCTCGATCAGAAAGTCCCATGTGACACTCGCGCGAACGAGGGGCCTGTGTAGGGGAATGAACCATGACATACACATACCCTTCCCCATCTCGCTCGCTAGCAAAACATGGTAGCCTGGTCTACCCTCTTGATTCCGTCTTTAGCGTAGACTGGCGTTGATTAGAGCATGGGGGTCGATGGGATAGCGCCGATTTAGCGTCGATTAGCGTCGATTCAGTGTCGATTCAGTGTCGATCCAGCGTCGGTTAGCATCGATTCGCACGAGCCGACAAGATGGTATGGAAGGCTCCCACGAGTTGCCACCGAACCATCTCGAGGCCCTCGTACCCGCGCAGCGCCATTCCCTTCCCCGTCGGGTGCGCCTCCTCACTCCGTCGCGCCCGCCCGCCCAAGGCGCATTTACTTGGAACTAGTAGAAGCAAGAACAACAGCTTGGTGTATGTGGCGAGGGCCTATCCTTGCCCTGTCATTAAGTCGGGCGTGTCCCTCTACAGAAGGGATATTCAAAAATAGTCAACAAATAGTCTGGGGACGTTTTTTTATGTTTTTGCAAGTTTGGAGTATTGTTTGACTAGTTCTTATTTTTCGTCCAAAGCCCGCCGGTACGGGGACATGCCCGACCCAACCCTATCATCCGTCGAGGTGCACTTCCAGGAGCTCCGCCCGACGCGTGCCGAGGTCCCCGAGGGCCACTGGACGGAGGACGGCTCGGGCGCCAGGCCAGGGGGGGATGTCGACGGGCAGCCGAGAGGGCGATTTTCTCGACGACATGTAAGAGTCAGGCGATCGCAAACATGGATCAAGGGGGCGTGGATTAGCGACGGGTCCTGCTTCCATGGGAAATCGCTGATTTCCGCCGCCGAACGAGGCGGCACCGGCCGCATTCTGGGAAGGGCGCCTCACCCGATCCATGGATTTGGCGACCGCGCGCCAAATCCATGGATCGCTAATCCGTGTTTGCGCGCCCCCGAAAGAGCGACCCTTCACTGGAGTGACCTCTTTGGTGCGGGCCCGATGTGGCCCCCCGATTGCCGAGCGCGATGCGGCAGCACAGTGGAAACCCATGCCAAGAGACAGCCTGCTTGCTTCCAGGGTGCCCTGGGTTTCTTAGTTTTCGATGTCTCTGCTATGGAATACGTGGCGTCCCCACACCAGAAATCAATGGACGTCCTGGGGTCTCAGGGGGTTGGGTTTACTGCGGAAGTTCCCTTGTGGTCGTGCTCCTCTTGTAGCGTCCTGCGCGCATCTGTCTTATGGTCGTGTTTCTATTGTAGCCGCGCACCAAACGTACCCAGGCCCCTCCTGTGTGTGATCGAAGGAGGATTCGCCGAAGCCTCGAGAACCGCCTGGGGTGTCGGACCTTCCAGTACTCATGCAAGGCGAGTAGTGCCATGACGCGCATGCTCCTCCACCCTCCTCCTCCTCCTCCTCCTCCTCCTCCTCCACCTCCTCCCCCTCCCCCCCTCCTCCTCCTCTTCCTTCTGCTCCTCCTCCTCCTCCTCCTCCTCCTCCTCCTCCTCCTCTTCCTTCTGCTCCTCCTCCTCCTCCTCCTCCTCCTCCTCCTCCTCCTCCTCCTCCTCAGGGTGGTTCCCCCGCGACTCTCGGCGCGCGCTCGCGCTCGAGGCCAGGGGGCTTCCCCCCGACGTCCGCCGACCCAGTCCGGTCGCTGAGACGATCTAGGCCCCCCAGATAGCCTGGCATCGCTCGGACGTGTGCATTTTTCCTTCGGCGAGAACCATCGAGGAGCATCCTTGATCTTTTGGTGAAAAAACCACACGAAACCGACAAAAAAAACAAGGAATGGACGTCCGAGCGATGGCCAGATCCAGGCCTCCCAGAAAGGGTCCGAGCAGATGTGGCCAGACGATCGCGCCGCATCGCCGATGCGTCGGCGATGGGGCTCGATGCGGAGCCCGATTTGCTTCACGCCGACGTCGCCGATTCATCGCCGACGTCGCCGATGCATCGCCGGTGAGTCGCCGATGCATCGCCGATACTTTGCCGATGTATCGGCGATGCGGCGCGATCCCCTGACCACATGTATTCCGACCCCATCTAGGAGGCCTCTTATGAGATAAGGTACAGTTTGGATTCGGAAGGGGCTCGAGGTTCCAGAGCTTCTTCCATGGCTGTTCCTCTAGCCCCCCTCGTGCACGCTGGCGCTCCTGGGGCCAAAAACGGGCTCCGTTCCTTAGCTATCGTTCCTTCTTCCAACAGCCCGACGGTACACGCAAGATTGGCCTTTCGCCGGGGTGACTTCTGGCGCGGGCTCACAGGGTCCCTCCCGACACTATCTGGCGCGCTCAGGTTCGCCCTTCCATGGAACCCCCGTAGGTGAACGAATAATAAAATACACAGAAAATCGCGGAGGTCCGCGCGGATTTCTCGGATCGGCGCTGGACCCCCTTTCCTGGCGCGCGAAGCGCGCCAGGGGCGGCGCCGGAGGCGCCGCCAGGGGGGTCCAGCGCGGATCCGAGAAATCCGCGAGGACATCCGAGTTTTTCTGTGTATGTCATTCTTTGTTCTCCGATTGAAGTTTGAAGCCAACGGGATGAAAGCGAGGCGCCAGCCTTTTGGCATCCAGGAAGCAGCCGCGCGGTCCTCGCCCCGCTGCCCCGTTGAACAGGGACGACTTCAGTGCACTGTGCCTCGCTGGCTTCTACCGTGCCTCGCTGGGGAGGAGCAGGAGGAGGAGGAGGAGGAGGAGGAGGAGAAGGAGGAGAGTAAGGAGGAGGAGCGGGAGGAGGAGGAGGAGGAGGAGGAGGGAGGAGGAGGAGGAGGAGGAGGTGGAGGAGGAGGAGGAGGAGGAGGAGGGAGAGAGAGGAGGAGGAGGAGGAGGAGGAGGAGAAGGAGGAGGAGGAGGGAGAGGAGGAGGAGGAGGAGGAGAGGAGGAGGAGGAGGAGGAGGAAGGAGGAGGAGGAGGGAGGAGGAGAGGGAGGAGGAGCTGTTTTCGAGGCGCGGCGTCCTAAGGAGGTCCCGGCCCCTTCCCCCCCCCCCGGGGGCCCGCTGCTCGCCCCCACCCAGGGGGCCGCGATGGCCCGCCCCCAGGGCCCCCCCCCGGCCACCACGGGCCGCGCGAGCCGAGGTCGAGGACAACGAATGGGCCTGTCTTCCACCACCACCACCATGAGTTGGAGGGGGAGGGGGTCCTCCTCCTCCCCCTCCTCCTCCTCCTCCTCCTCCTCCTCCTCTCCTCGTCCTCGTCTTCGTCCTCCTCCTTCTCCTCCTCCAACTCCTCCTCCTCCTCCTCCTCCGCCTCCTCCTCCTCCTCCTCCTCCTCCTCCTCCATTCCCTCCTCTTCGTCCTCCTCCTCGTCCTCCTCCTCCTCCTCCTCCTCCTCCTCCTCCCCCCCCTGTCCAACTTATGGTGGTGGTGGTGGTGGTGGAAAACAGGCCCATCAGATGAACGCAGGGATTGATCGCGTGAGCGGCGGAGGAAAGCTCGGCGGCGCCCGCGGGGGGAGTCGTCGGGAGTTATGGGTTCGAGGCTCGGCGTTCTCGGGCTGTGTCGCCGCTTCTCGACGGTGTTTTTTCCTGCCTCGGGTTAAATCGGGCCTATCCCTCTACAGGAGGAATATTCAAACATAATTGTTTTGGAAAGAATTGAATGGGGACGAGTTTTGGAGTATGTTTGATCATTTGTTGAGCATATTTTGTATATTTGTTGCGAATCGCCCAAACTCCGCCTGTAGGGGGGCATGCCCGACCTAAGCCTCGGGATGCGCTCCAGCAGCTGCGCCTCGCCAATGGCGCTCTGGGGGTGCCTGGATCGCCCCGAACGGCCACCGGACTGCCAAGTTATGACCGAAAAACCACCAGGCGTCCGAGAAGGGGTGAGCCTTCTCAGGCTCGGAAGTCCCCCTGCCTTCCGAGAAGGTTCCCAAGCCTTCCCCGAAGGCGCAGGAAACTTCTCGGAAGGCGCCAAGGCTTCTAAGAAGTCCCGCCGCCCTCTAAGAATCAACGAGGACAAATCCACCCCGACCCCCATAATCGGCGTTTACTAAACGGCCCCGTGCGTTTACTAAACAGCGCTTTCTTGTTGGACTCCTTCGTCGGGTGCGTTTGCTAAACGGTTGCGTTGTCGGGGTGCTTATTATCGGGGTGGATCTCCAGCCCTCTAAAGAAGACCTTCTCCTTCCGACTTCCCCCCCTCGCTCGCCGCCTAAAAAAACGGGGTCTTCGCCGACGCCGGTGCGCCAGCGGCCCGCGTGAGGTCGCGCGTGGGCACCCCCGTCTCCAGCGCAGCGTGCCGCGCTGACGGCCCGCGTGGGCCACCGCGCGTGAGACCTCCTCCTCCTCCTCCTCCTCCTCCTCCTCCTCCTCCTCCTCCTCCCTCCTCGATCCTCCCCTCCCTCGCCCTCTCTCCGCCCTGGGGGCCTGCGCCCTCTCGCTCCCTCGGCGAACGGCCCGCGTAAGGTCACGATGTGATCTCGCGGTGAGACCCGTTCCTTTGCGTCGCTCAAGTCACTTCGTCGGAGATTTGGGCATCAATCTGTCTTGCAGCCGTACACCTTATGCGATGCTTAAGAAAACTTAAGTTTTCGTCCAGAGTCTCGATTATTCTTAATTTTTCAATGTAAATCCCAAGATTTTGATAGACATTCTGGGTTTTTTATTAAAATTCTGAGACTATGAATTTCTTAACCCATGATTTCTTAAGCATCTCGCAGGGTGTATTCGCCATCGTATGTGCATGTTGTATGAGTCCAATCACTCTGGGCTTCTGACAGGCCCGTCCTGATGCGCTGCGCGCGCTCGAGCATCGTGACGCCGCTGAACATCCGCATGGCCAGGCCAGGAGGAGGTCAATAAGGAGGTCCACCCTGCAGGTAACGGGGTTCAGCGCACACGGGGCTCAGCCAGAGCGCCAGATCTTGCAGGATCCTGCAGAACCCGACTTTGGCTGAGCCGGGTTTCGGGGCCGCTCGAGGCCCGGTAGGTGGCCGTACACATTGGCTGACCCGGGTTTGGGAAGCCACCCGAAAGATAGCAGTGCGCATTGCAACTTTTATGAATTGCTTGAGCCAGGTTTGCGCTGAGCCGGTGTAGTCCACGTCTTAAACGTGGCACGCCCGATCAGCATTACGCAGAATGTTTACCATGTGCTGTCCGAGGCCCAGAGTCGCTTCGAAGCTCCTTTGACAACGACGCCAGGGAGGGCTCGGTCAGCTGATTTTGATGGGTAGCCCCCCCCCGGTGACACGATGTGTTCACGCGAATCCATTTCGTGTCAGGCACGCGTGGGCATCGCAGATATTATCACTGAGCCCGAAACATTCGCCAACCCATTCTTTGTCATGTACGCCTTCCTTGCCTTCGCTATCGTTTTTCATTCGTATTCGCATCGTTGTTATTTTTCGTCGTCTCTATTCGTCTTCGCCTCCGTCACTAGTGGAGGTAGACGATTGAAAAATCTCCCCCGACCCGGGAGTTCGCCTTCCTATTATGTAGGGAAGACGAACGAATATCATTTGAGGGTTGCGAAACGGTTTTTGAATTTGTCCCCCCCCCGCCAGATATGTTTGCGCATTGCGTTGGCCGTTGTCATCCCGTCGGTCGTCATCCCGTCGTCGGCGTCGTGGTCGTCGTTGTTGTTGTCGTCGTCGTCGGCGTCGTCGGCGTCGTCGTCGTCCGCTGTCGTCCCAGAATTTCAGAACGCCTGCTCAGCACTCTCCACCACCTTTGCCACTAAGTCATCAGCAAGGTGCCGTCGTCGTCGTTGCCGTCGCCGTCCGTTCGTCCGTCCGTCCGTCCGTCCGTCCGTCCGTCGTCGTCGTCGTCGTCGTCGTCGTCATCGTCGTCGTCGTCGTTCCCTGGGAGTGGGCACAGTCGTCGTCGCCGTCGTCGTTGTCTCGTCCTTCGGGACTGCAGGACGCCCACTCAGCACCATCCGCAAAGGGCCGTCGTCGTCGCCGTCGTCGTCGTCGTCGTCGTCGTCGTCGTCGTCGTATCTCGTATGCCCTGCTCCACTATATAAATCGACTCTTCTCTACTCTACTCTACTCTGCTTTATTCGGCTGTGCGAGTATTGCGACGCCGCTGTAATAGCCACAGCAATGAATTGGAATAGCAGGGGAAGCCATCCGGCTACCAAAGACGCCATGCGGATGGCAGGGGGAGCCATGCGGATACATAGGAAGTAGCGCGGGTAATTTCAGGAGTGCGAAGGCTAAGTAAGGTAAAAGGGGGGGGCAGTGGGCCAGAGCCACAGCTCCTTTAGAGAAGCCTGCTTGGAGGAACAAAGCGCTTGCGTGAACAACAACGGCCGCATAAACCAGGCCGCTGGCAGCTACGAGTGCCGCGCCACGAGTGCCACAGCAAGACCTCTAAACAAAAGAGCAGCGCTGCGCCCTTGAGAGCACAAAAGCTTGTCTGTGAACGCCACAGTAGCCTATGAACGCTACAGCACGCCCGTGGTCTCTACGGAAACGACCGCCATGACGTAATTTGGGGGTGGGTGGGGGCGCGGGGCCGATTACGCCCCTTGTTGCCCAGGTGGGGAATTCTTGAATACGCTCAGGCCCGTGATCTCATCTCACCTCCCTGCGGCGGCCATGCATCCACCGCAACTTGTCGGCATCCGTGCGCATCACCCCAGGATGTCCACTCGGTACCGTGCGTGCACTTTGTCATCGGAGTCTGCGCGGGGAGTATGTGTGGACCCAAGACGGGACACCGAGCTCAAGATAGCCTCGGGTCCCCCGCGGGGTGGGGTGCGCAAGCGAGGCGGACCCACACGCGATCTGGCGGGACGGGAAACAAGCAAACGTTTGCGCCGTGCGCCGCGTCGGGGGGGGGGGGGGGGAGCATGGTTAAAGGGGCACAGCAACACACAAATACATTCACACACGTCCACACACACGCATCCCATGATTTCCAATATTTTCATATACTTTTTGGATTTCCGTCTTCCCCCCCACTTCCCATATTTTATTTTTTTTTCACTGGATTCGACGATTAATTGTGTCTGTGTGCTTTTTCCCCAAACCGGGGCAAGCTAGACAGAGTCCTCCCAGTTCTCCGCCCCGCGGAAGCCAGGGGATTGTCCCGTGGTTGTCCCGTGCGGTTGTTCGAGGTCGTCCTGTGGATTCCCCACTCGGTTGTGTGTCCTGGCTGCTTCGGGGTTGCCCCGCGGCTGCCCTGCCAGGAGAGAGGCCACTCGAGAATATTCGAAGGAACGAATACAACCCAAGGACGCCCCAACACGTCTGCAAGATCCCCCCCAAAAACAAAACTGGCGAAGAGCCCTACCCACGAAATCTGCCTGTGCAACTCAGGGCGTGCCCTCTCCTTTTGTGAATACATTTTAGCCCCGCAGCTGCATATAAGAGTGAGGGGGGTGGCGGGGGTCGTCGGCAGTCCGCGGACCCCCCCAAAAAACGTTCCGCAGGCGCAGGTTTTTTGGTTACACGATGCACAACGAGCCCGCCGCAGGCACCGATTTTTTCGTTTGACTAGCGTGAGTGGGTCGCGGGTGTGTGGCAGCGTGGGTCGCGCGTTAGGTCGCGGGGTGGGTCGCGGGGTAGGTCGCGGGGTGGGTCGCGGGGTAGGTCGCGGGGTGGGTCGCGGGTGAGTCGCGAGCGGAGCGCGGGCGAGGACGACGACAGCAACGCAACGCAACAACGAACAACAACAATCAGCACCGCGGAACGCCACTTCAGCCACGCACCCACGGACAGTGAATGACGGTTCGGCCCCTCGCTCTCATGAGGAATTGCGGATAAGGGGCTCGCGGAGCAAATGCGCAGAGGCGCGTCGAACGCTGCGGCGCGTCATCCGTGGCATGGGGTGCCGATGGGCGGGGGAGCGACGTAAGAAAATTCCGGCCGGGGCCATGGGCGGAATTCTCTTGCGGGCGAGAAAAGCGTGTGGAGATGTGAGAACAATGTACGGTGCGGTGGCATGCCACCACTTGGCCCCCTCACTCTGATTTTATGGGAACTGCTGCACCTGACGTGCGGACTTGTACGGGCACCAGCATAAACGTGAAGGGTGCTAATGGAGGCAAGCGACCAATGAAAGAAGTTGGGGGCGATTTTGGGATGGTGTCTCCGGCCCCGCGGCACTCGCCACGTGGCGCTCACTATAGCGGGCCAAGGAGCTCGGCGCACAGAGGGCCGACGATTCGGGTTGGCCCCGGGGCCGTCTGGGAGGACGGGTGGGCACGCGGGCTGACAGCACGGAGCGGCGAGAGTGGCGATCCGGACTGGCCGCACAGTGGAGGCCCATGCCAAGAAACACCCTGCTCGCCTCCAGGGTGCCCTGGGTTTCTCGGGTTTCGATGGTCTGGTGATGGAAAAAGCGTGACGTTCCCACACCAGACATTCAGTGGACAGCCTGGGGTCTTAGGTTTGGGTTTCTTGTGGAAGGCTTCTTGTGATGGGCCTGTTTTCCACCACCACCACCATAAGTTGGAGGGGGGAAAGAGGTGGAGGTTGGAGGAGGAGGACGAGGGAGGAGGACCCCATACCCCCTTCAACTTATGGTGGCGGTGGTGGGCAACAGGCCCATCATCTTGTGGAAGGGGGCTCCACTGCAGGCACCCCTCGCCCCCTGGCGCGGGCGTCCTGCAGTCCTGGGAAGAGACGACCGACGGGCGAAGACGACAACGGAGACGACGGCGGACCGTGGATGTGCTGGGGGGGGGGGCTGCGCGGGCGCCCTGCAGCCCCGAAGGACGAGACGACGGCGTGCAGTGGAGTAGGATCGGAGGCAGATCAAGGAATTGGGCGTCGCGGCCGTCATTATTGCGGGTCCAGGTTCGTCGGTTTCGGTCCTAGGCCGGTTTCACTAAGGGGAGGTTTACTAAAGGGAGGTTTGTCCACCACCGACAGGAGCAGGTCAGGGCACGGTAGGGCAGGCCAGGGTACCATTATGTCTGGCCTGTCCCCCTACAGGGGGAGCTTGGGCGAAACATCAAAAATACAAGACAAATAGCCCCCCAAAAGCTCAAACATAGTCAAAACATTGTCCCCCGATTATTTTTTGACTATTGTGGTATCTTCCTCCTGTAGAGGGACAGGCACGACTGAAGGGTAGCGTACAGCAACATGGAGCAGGGTAGGGTAGATGGAAGAGTAGGGTCGGGTAGCATAGAGTTAAGCCGTGCAGAGTAGAACAGGCTTGAGTAGAGGTGAGCGTGTTCGAGCAGGGTGCTGTAGGAGTATAGTAGCTTCGGAAGGGAGCAGAATAGAGCAGAGCAGGCTCGACTAGAGCAGGGCTGGTTAGGGTGGTTAGTGCAGTGCAGGGTAGAGTAGGGCCGAGTACAGAAGAGAAGAGTACAGTAGTAGAGTCAGGTAGATGTCAGAGTAGAGCCGGGTAGAATCTAGTAGAGTCCGGTAGAGTACCCCAACCCAATTCGAACCCAAGTCCAATCCAATCCAAACCAATCTCGTCCACACTACACCGTCCACGCCAGTCCAGCCCACCCCAGTCCAGTCCAGTATTCTCCAGTCCACTGTGCTCCAGTTCTCTCCAGTCCACTTCGCTGCAGTCTTCTGATCTCTTTGATGTCTGCGCCGGCTGATATATGCACGCAAGCGCTGTCGTGTGCGTGTGCGGAGGCACTGCGGGCCAAAAATGCAAGGGACCGTGCCCTGGGCCAGATGAATCAACAATCGCATTGAATTCAATTGGTTCGGGCCCACTTCGGTTTTCCAGAGCTTGGGTACTGTTTGGTCCGTGGAGGTGTACACAGGCGCTGTGCTGTACGCAGGCGCTGTGGTATTCACAGGCGCCAGGCGCTCTGGTGCACACGGCTGCTGTGGTGTCGCAGGCATTGTGTTGAACACTGGTTCTGTGGTTCACGCAGGCATTGTGGGCCAACAATGAAGGGGTGGCTGTGCCTCGTGCCAAGTGAAATTTAACAGCAATCTCCAATAGCATACATATTAAGTTTGCTTGGTTCGGGTCCGCCACGATGTTAGTTCCAGAGTGTGGGCTCCATCGGGGCCTTAGAGGTGTACAGAGGCTTTGTTGTGTACACAGGCACAGTGGTGCACGCAGGCGCCAGGTGCTGAGGTGCACACGGCTGCTCTGGTTGCACAAGCATCGTGTTGTGCATAGGCGCTGTGGTGCACGAATATGGTGTTGCGTGTACAAGGGTTCTGTGGTGGGCGCATTCATTGCTGTGTACATAGACGCTGTGGTGTACACAATCATGCTTTGAACCTCTGTGGTGTGATGCACCCTTGCGCAGTGATTCACGCATGTGCGCTTGCATCGCTGTTTGTAGTGTACACGCGCGTTGTCTGTTCGTGGCTACTGTCAGCAGTCCCTGTACGGCGCCGCTTTCTTCCTAGCAGTAACCAACCTACACCCCACACGCTAATGTGTGCTGTCCGTGCGTATGCCTAGGCATTCCCAGCCGCAAGCCACCTGTGGTGCTCCCAGGGACATGGTCTCGCTCGCGGGCGGCTGTGGCGCTCACAGACACACTGCCTGAGAGGAGGAGGAGGCAGAGGAGGAGGAGGAGGAGAAGGACGAGAAGGAGGAAGAGGAGGAAGATGCTGTAACAAAAACCTTGGCGCCTGCGGCAGGTTTCAGCCAAGTTGCTGCTTCACTTTCCGAGCCCAGAGCAGACAGGTCGGGCCGGTGCCCAACGGTGGTGCCAAGTCCAGTTCTGGCAAGCGCACGCGTCGTATTTCAGTCCAGTCTGGATTTTATGCTCCTAGCTAGGGCATCCCCTCTGTTCTATCCGTATCTGCGGGGACAGTCGAACGAGTCGGTTTGATACAAATTCTGGGCTTTGGGGACGAGCGCGCGTCGCTGTCGTGTCTCCCTTTTCCGATCTGACCCCCGCTGCTCTCTTCCATGCCGTGATGTTGATGGATGTTGCCCAGGGTGGAGGATCACGACGACCTCGCCGCCGTCTTCAACACGCAGAGCGAGGTCGTCACAGAGGTGTATGGTGAGTTCTTCATCGCCGAGCTGGTGGAGGCCCAGAACGAAGAGAACAAGGCACTCGTCGCAGAGGTGGACCGGAGGATGGAGAAGCGACGCCACCACCAGGGCCAGCCCTGGCGAGGAGCTCGACGATACATTTCCGAGCTAGGGATTGGAAACGTCTCGAGCGGGACGCCGACAATCAGGGACACCACACCACCACGAGAACCCCCTTCTGCCTTTTGGCCATGGTAGTGCTGTCGCCTCTCCTTGCTACTAGGTGGACGGTCGCGCGAAAGGGCTCATGTGCCTGACCTCGGATGTCGACATCAACGTCTTGGCGCAATGCTTCGAGCTGGACGCCTACGACAACCTCCTGAAGCCGGGATACATGAGGCGCCGTGCCCGAGCTAATCGGTGTTTTGGCGATTTCGTGGACCGTGCTCGTTTTGCTGTCGTTTTGCACCACAGGCGAGGGAACACGAGCGCAAGACGGAAACGGACAACGTTGTTTTCTAGGCCTCCTAGATGGGGTCGGCGCAGATGGGGTCGGAGGATCGCGCCGCATCGCCGATGCATCGCCGATGCGGCTCGATGTGGAGCCCGATGTGCTTCACGTCGACGTCGCCGAATCCTCGCCCACGTCGACGGTGCATCGCCGGTGCATCGCCGATGCATCGCCAATGTATCGGCGATGCGACGTGATCCTCCGACCCCATCTACTCGGACACCATCCAGGAGGCCTCTACGTCTAGCTCGAGCCCTGACGAGGCGTGTGCGCGAGCACGCCGAGGCTTTCCAGAGGGGCGAGGCCGCCTACCTGTGCGAGACGGGGGACTACCTGCAGGCGGCGTCGGGGGCAGAGGGCAGGCCCTCTGCGATCACGACGACGATGACGATGACGATGATGATCGTCATCGTCATCGTCATCGCCATTGTCATTGTCATCATCACCATCACCATCACCATCGTCATCCTCATCATCATCATCATCATCATCATCATCATCATCATCATCATCATCATAATCATCATCACCATCACCATCACCACCAGCATCGTCATCGGCATCATCGTCATCATCATCACCATCATCATCATCATCACCGTCTCCATCACCATCATCATCGTCATCTTCACCGTCTCCATCACCATCATCATCGCCATCCTGATCACCATCATCATCATCATCATCATCATCATCATCATCATCATCACCATCATCATCATCATCATCACCGTCTCCATCACCAGTATCATCGTCATCTTCATCACCATCATCATCATCATCACCATCATCATCACCATCATCATCATCATCATCATCAGCATCATCATCATCATCATCATCACCACCATCATCATCATCATCATCATCATCAGCAGCAGCAGCAGCAGCATCAGCATCAGCATCATCATCATCGGCATGGCCATCATCGTCGTCGCCATCGTCATCATCATCGCCGTCGTCATTTTCGGACCACCCGGGGCCTCTTGGGGCTTCGGTGGGCTGTCTGTGGGCTCTCTCTCTCCGTGGCCGCCTCGGGCCTGGGGCCGCCTGCCTGTGCGAGACCCGGGTGCCGCACCCGCAGGCGCCGCGCGGGGGGGCTGCGCGAGGGAGGGAGGGAGGGGACCCTCGAGGGGGAAGGGCCCTCGAGGCCTTCAAGGCTTTTCGTTGGGGAGGGCCCTCGAGGGCCCTCGAGGGGGAGGACGCTCGAGGGGGAAGGCCCTCGAGGGGGGGAGGGGAGGGGAGGGGGGGGGGCCCTCGAGGGGGAGGGACCTCGAGGCCTCCGAGGCTCTTTGCCACCACGAGCTGGAGCTCGGCGACCACAGGCAGGAGGAGGAAGAGGAGGAGGAGGAGGAGGAGGAGGAGGAGGAGGAGGAGGAGGAGTAGGAGGAGGAGGAGGAGGAGAAGGCATCGCTCGGACGTGTGCGCCTTTTCTTCGCGAGGGCCCTCGAGGAGCCTCTGGGATCGCCCTTGCGAACAAAAATGCATGCGCGACGCCGGAGAATGCACGGGGGGATGGACCTCCGAGCGACGGCGAGGCTCTGGGGCAAATCAACTCTGTAGTCGAATCCCTACTCGGACGACGGTAAGATTTTGACTGCTTCTGGCCTCCAGGGTCCGCTGCCTGGCCTCGGGAGTGTCAGAAAAGCGACTCACGGTGGAAAACCGGTCCCGGGACATTGGGTCGAGACTTTTGGGGGTCTTGCCAGTTTGAAGCATACCCCTATCCCCATGTTTGACATCACCTCACCTCGATGCCGATCTCAAGGGTTCCCTCGGTTTCCGATGGCCTATCCCTAAGAGTGTCCTCGCTGTTTGTTCGCCCGTCTTAGGGATAGGGATACGCTCGAGGCTGGTTAGGGTCGGCGTTCCTGGGGTGCGGTCGGCGCCGTCGGCGCCGTCGTGGCCCGGGCCGCGAAGCTGCCGTCGCCGGGCCTCGTCGGGGCGCGGCGACGGGGCCCATGGCGGTTCCGGCCTGCCTCTCAGGGTGGCCCCCCGTGGTGCCCGCTGCAGGCCGCACCCTCTGCAGGCCACACCCCTCGGAGTCGCCGAGAGAAGCTGGCCCCGGGGGCAGCAAGTCGGGCAGGCTCCTCCTCTTCCTTCGCCCTCTCCTCCTTTCTCCCCCTTCTCCTCCTCCTCCTCCTCCTCCTCCTCCTCCTCCTCAATGATTCCTCGTCATTTCTCTACCTCCTCCCCCTCCTACCACTTCACGTCGGCCTCCTCCGCCTCCTCATCTCCTTCGTCCTCATCATATCCTTCTTCTTCCTACTCCTTCTCCCCCAACGCCGAGACCATTCGCTCCAGAGAGCTCGGGCACGCTCTCAGAGCGTTGCTGGAGCGTCACGGAACGGCCGAGGCTGCGCTCTCATGTTCTGCAACCGTTGGATCTCAGCGATTCCCGATCTGTCCTGGTCCTATTTTGTTCCAGTCCCAGCTTCGTCTACACCTTAGGCGATGCTTAAGAAAACCTATTTGTTTGGCCAGAGTCTTGATTATTCTTAATGTTTCAATGTAAACCCTAAGATTTGAATAGAAAATTTGGGTTTTTACTCAAGTTCTGAGACTCTGAATTTCTTAACCCATGATTTCTTAAGCATCTCGCAGGGTGTATGCAGAGTGGCTTCGGTGTTTGTCCCACCAGGGTCTTCCCCGCGCGTGCCGCAGAGAGCAAGCTTCACGCGCGGCATGTTTCTCTCTTCGAGGGTGGGCTGTGCTCGAAGGGGCCCGTGCCTATGCTGTGCAGATGGTCCGGTGTGCGTTTTGGGGAGGCCCGCTCCCGTGGGCCTCGAGGGTCTTGGGGCGTTCGGCGCTTCATCTGGAGATCGCCCCACAACAAAACTGAAAACAAGAGAAGAAGAAAACGTTTTCTGACGGAGCTGGGTCGAGGACGAGTCCGTTCCAGAGCGTCCCAGAGCGTTCCAGAATGCTCTCAGAGCGTTCTGGAACGGTCTGAGAAGGCCGCGGCGCCCAAGACATCCTCCAGATCCGCCGGATCTCAACGCATCTCGACGTACGGTCGGACCGAGGTATAAGGTCGAGGTCGGCTCGGGGACGGCACTTTAATGTTCTCCCAGTCCCCGGCCCCTGGCCCCTGGTCCCCAGCTCCCGGTCCCCGGCCCCGGTTCCTGCACCGCCGGTCCCCGGCCCCGGCCCTCGGTTCCCGGCCCCACGCAGGCCCCCGCGGCGGCCCGCATGGGCCACATGGGGCCGGGAACTGGGGTCCCGCGGCCCCGGTCCCCGGGTCCCCGGTCCCCGGTTCCAGTCCCCGTTTTCCGCTCCCCGCTCCCCGCTCTCGTTCCGGCCCCTGGCCCCCCGGTCCCCAGCGCCCCGATTGAAGTCGGACCTGTTCCGTTACAGGGGGTATATCCACTGATATTTAAAAAAATCGTCCGGGGGCGATTTTGTGAATATTTGTTGGGACTTTTTCGGGGTACTTGTTTTTTCTTCCAAAAACCCGCCTGCAGCCCGACCGAAGCCTCGGTCCCCAGTCCCTGTCCCTGGTCCCCACTTCGAGGCCTGCGAGGTTTACAACTGGTTAGCCCTCACTGATAACTGTAAGTGAAGTACACGTACGTTATAATGCAATTATTACTTGTTATACGTTGCCGATGTATTCGTGTAACCTTCTGGACTCCAGCTCTTGACTTAGGCGGCCTTATAGCAAATAGTACGTCCGTTAACTTGTAACAGGCGTTTCCACAACGCAGCGATATCATTGATTTCCGTGCGCGTGCATGTTCCTTTTTTTTCCCATCCCCCGGTCAGGACCGCGAGGCTTCGTATCGCATGCACAAGGTTTCGAATCCCCACATGTTCGGAGAACTGTGGATCGGTGTTGCATTTAGAAGACATGGTTTCGCTATCCGTAGACGTTGGGGCTCAAAAGAGGTAGGTCGCAGCTTCGTGCAAGGCACATATTCTAGCATGATGACGGACCGCCGGGCATTCGTCATCGGAAACTGCAGACCCCGCGCTGCCTAGATGGCGGAACAATTTGTCGAACATGATGCGTCGGTTGTATCATTGTGTGAGGTGGCAAAAAAACAAGTTGCCGGAGCAAACGATACGTCGTCGAGGGAAACTGTACGTTGAAAGTACATGTGCGTGGATATGATGAACATCGTATGAGGATGGCGTTGTACCAAGTGACGTGCCACACCTCTTCTCACAAAGCTTTGAAAACGGAGTCAGGAACCTGCATTTACTGATGCCTGCGCGCTCTGAGCGGGCCTTGCGTTTTCCAGCCCGGGCGTCTGCGCGCCTCGGGCTCCGGCGGGGCACCGCGAGGGCTCGCCCTCGGCGCCGCGCCCGCCCGTCGGCGGCGCGATGGGGCGCCGCCGACGCGGCCGGGGGCCGAGGCGACGACCGGAGCAGCGGGGTTGCCGAGGCGGCGGCGCCGACGCGCGCTTCGCCGCGTCTGGACCGCGCCAAGAAGGCCCAAGGTCCGAGAGGTCAGCCAGAGTCTGCAGAGGGTGAGCGCGAGGGCAAGCGCAGGCGTCTGCTGAAGAGGCAGAGGAAACGCCTGCGCCAGAGGTCGAACCCAGCGGCGCCATCGGCGGGGCAAGGCGAGCCCCGGGAGCGGGCCGAGGAAGCCGGGCCCCGGGAGGCGGAGCCGAGTGCCGAGGGGGCCGAGGAGGTTGGGGATCCAGGGCGCCCGCGGGCAGAGCCGAGTGCCGAGGTGGCCGAGGAGGCCGGGGCACAGGGCGCCGACTCGGCAGAGCGGGCGGAGCCGAGCGCCGAGGGGGCCGATGGAGCCGCGGAGCCCGATGGGGGGCCTCGGAGAGGCGAAGGAGACGAAGAAGAAGAAGAGGAGGCGGGAGGAAGGAACTAATAACAATATGAAGAATCAGCGCGCTGACGAGAATAATAATAATAATAAGAAGAAGAAGAAGAAGAAGAAGAAGAAGAAGCAGGCGGCCGAAGCCTCGCCCAGCGCAGTCCCAGACGTCGCGCAGACGTTCGCCGCCTTCCCCAGTTGCTGCAGGTGCAAGCGCCGCGTCGACCCCCTGAGGATGAAACTCGTTGACAAACGCAGCAACGCGTGGCAGTGTGGCATCTGCAACGGCCGTTGCACGCAGCTGTATCGCGCGATCGGGGCGTGGCCCCCCGAGCAGTTCAAGGGCTTCACGGAAGACGAGAAGACGAAGTTTTGGAATGACCTCAGCGAGGCAAATGGAAAGGTGCAGATCGAGAAGGTGGCCGTGGAGTCGTTCAAGAAGCGCTACCTGGAGAGCCGAGGGGCAGGCGCCGGGGGCCAGCGCCTTCCCTCGAGTGTCTACGAACGGCATGGGAGTCGACATCAATGCGATCCGCGACCACTGCAAGGGCGTTGAGAAGAC